ACGACTTTCGTGGACGTATCAACGCGTCCACCCACGAGTTTGCTAACGCCAACTCGCAACAGTGCCAAAGTCGGTGAGTAAGCTTGAGTTCGCTAAGTCTACCTGACATTGCAGTCCATCCCGACAATAACGACATAGTGGATGTGATTAGCTACAACGAACCGACGTTGCGGTTTCCGATTACCGATGTACACTGGCGCTAGAATGAAATCACATTTAACTAGCTTCTTCTCGTTGACGGCTCTTAAACGATGCACGTCGTTTAGACACTTATCCCGTCAGTAACTTATGCACAGTAGTCTTTAAAAAGATCTTACACGCTCCTGTGTCAACTAACCCGACAAGTGGAACCCCGGAACTCTCGACCTCCACGGTAAGCGATTTTTCCACTTACTTGTCGGTTGCTGACGGTGCAATGAAAGTTATCTCGTGCATGGACTCACCTGATGGTCGAAAACGGTTCGGTTGGGGTTGTCAGCTGCGGACATTTCTTGGAAACGCTTCTCCGTGTACAGACTCACCTGATGGTTAAAAGTAGACTGGATTTGGCGGCCACCTGTGTTGCAGGTGTTGTCCAATGCTTCGTCGACTCTCTCCAGATCTTCACCCTGCTGCACCGCCGTATCCAATTGATGAGGGGTAGGGCGCAGCATGAACTGCCTCCTCACAATATGCTTGAACTCCCTCCTGCATTTGTACCAAAACGCGTTTTTCGCTTTGGACTGCTGTTTCTTCTACATAGACACGATCTGCTAGGTGCCTCCGTTCACGGACACAAGTCCCGATCACTTCTCTAAGATGTTGAGATCGTGCGTGCAGCTGTGAGCTGTCCTATAAATGATACAAATGCGAAAGAACACTACCAAGTTTCGATGGCGGAAATTGTTGCAAGGGCAGCTGGACTTACCTTTCCCACCTGCGGTAAGAAATGCCGAAGGAGAGCTTTTCTGGAGCCGGAACCGTTGGCCAATGCCGATTTTTTCAGGGCACTGAACGTTGCATCCACACTTGATGATGATTTCCCGTCGTCATATTCATATACTCGCACAAATGTTGCTTTTGATTGTTTTCTTACTTTCGGCATCTATCCTGGTGGGGCTACCACTTTATAGCATATAACGCAGAATCAAATCCGAAAGGGAAACGGAAACTTATATTAGCAACACGCAGCCACTATAAAAGGAAACACATATAAGTACAAAGAAAGTTCCGCTCAGTTCAGTTGATCAGCTATACTCCGAGCACCGAAGTGCGGTGGATCCAGTTGCCACGACTCGCATCGCAAGAATAACAATAAATAACAACGGCAAGATAGTGGGGTTAAAGGCAAATAGAATGTAAATAAAATCTGAGCAAGGAGGAATTTCACTAGACTAATCAAAATGGAACGAAATTTAACAACCAGATGCAAGAAACCGAATGCAGGAACACCAATGACTGCGTGACTGCGCCATGTCTGATACGGTCTCTAGCAATTAGTGTAGACTATCCCGAGGCCCCCATCCAAAAAGACGGCACACACCCGCCTAACCAAGTCTCTCAGTCAATTTCTTCATGCCACTATGCCACGTCACGGTTTCACCCAACCTGGGGCAGTCATTTCATATAATACACCGAAGAAATCGGTCAACGAGCTTACCAAGGACATAGCGTAGACATGGTAAGCGATTAAGATTCAGCAAGCACTCCGATGAAGCACCTTAAGGCTTCCTGACAAAACCAACTGGCATACCTCAGCATTGCTCATCCAATATTCCCACCAGATGTGAGCAATGCTGCGGACGCAACGGTGGTTAATCATGGTAATCACCTAATGTCTTCACCGCGAACTACCAGGTCTCTGATCTGTGCAGTAACATCGGCCTTATTGAAGCGTCGTAAAGCCAGCCATTCACTAACAAGCTGATGTCCCACCGTCTCCATAGTTGGTTTAGTCCCTGGAAACCCACACGGGCCTTGCTGATACCTGAACTAAATTCCTCAGGGATGCGACCACCATAGGTGACACAGCTACCAAGCTAAGTGAACCATATGGGCTTAAGCAGCACCAGTCTGCCTTGTAATCTGATTGCGCCAGTTCGAGTCCGCGTAGGAGACCGGGCGTCCTTCGCAGTATCCTAGCCCACCTGCGACTGGTGGTGATTGCGCGGCAGTGAAGCGTCGGTACTGCGTACCGGCGTACTGTCATTGCGTTATTTTGCGTACAAAATTGTATGGGTAATTTACTTTTTGTCGAAAGTCTTTCATCATTTCCCCACTTATTCTAATGCGACTTGAAGTGTCCGATTGTGGGGCACGCAAACTATACACGTATCTTCAAACATATTTATCCGGCAGATCATTGTGGTCGCCGGTCTATGATGGAGGTGACGTTGTCCCAGCACTTGTCGCAGTGGGCGCCTCTGTGACAATGTGCTGTGGTAACTCTACCAGCTCCATTCCTGCCTTCTTACTCTGGACGATGACGAACTCGTGGACGCAACGTATCGTTCTGAAATATATGATGCCTCATCCATCCTGTATTCTCATTACACCTTGCGTCAACCAGCTATCAGCGCCGAACTGATAGCAGTGAGGGGCTGCACAGTCGTTGGGATCGTCCTTATAAACTCTTTCATCTATGGTGTATCGCCACTCGGTTGGTACGCTCCAATTTCTGTTCTTTTCCAAACGTATCACTCAATCCGCCACCGAGTACTTCATCGCAATCTTCCAATAATTCTGGAGCTGGAGCATCCTTATTGATAACTTTGAGGCGATCAAAACACGGGACTATTGAGAAACTTGTGTTTTTCTCTTAATTGAACACTCCGCATTCAGATTTAGTGGCTACCTTTGGGGCGTCGTTCAACATGAACATGTTCCACAAAAAGTCAGTCAGATTTCCTCCTAGTGCAAGAGTGTCAAACGCCATCTCACGTTGGGCCACACTGCATAAATGTTCATTGAGCAATGGAAAACTAAACCTTTTTAAACGATAATATTAATTATAATAATAATAATAATAATGATAATATTAATTAAAATAATAAAAAATTAGGGCATACTAATTTTAGCACTTGTGCCAGTTTCTCAGAGCTGAAAGTTTGACATCTTTTCTTAGCAATAAGTTCACTTCTGTTTAGAGTGAAGTTATGTGTTCTGGATGGACTGCGGGTGTTCATCATTGAGATAACCCCTGTGTGATTGTTTGTTAATCTTCATCACAGAGAACAACTGCTCACACAGATATGTGCTTCGTATCCGCTTGTGCTAGAATCCTGACATTTTCTATCAAAATGATGACAAGCTTCATCTTCATGTATCGAAACCAGTGAATACTGGTTATGCTTTCTGATGGCCTTCTTATGCTTTGTGATCCTTGTGGAGAACTTTCTTCCCGTTTGTCCGATGTAGTGCTTATTACATTCATCCCAATTTATCTGCTAAATTGCATGGGTTTAATTACGTTGTTTGATTTTTTTCTTTCGGTCTTGAAAGCAACCCTCACTCAGGGTGTGTGTGCTAAAGTGATCGTGCTGCTAGGTGAGAAAGGTACTTGTTGTTGAGAAGCACTACCCGTTTATTTTCTGTTCTTGTCGCTGCTGATCCATGCTCTTCTTCAGGCTTCTAATAAACTTTCGTGAATATCCGTTGTTCTGTAACACGCGGTATAGATGGTTTTCCTCCTTCTGTCTCAATTACATTATGCTGCAATATGTTTCCGCTCTGTTGAATGGTGTTTGGACTCAGCTCTTTTTGTGGCTCATCAGGTGCTTACTGTAGTAGTTCAGTATATTCGATCCATGTGTGTCTTCTTCCAATATACACAAGTTTGAAGCGTTCCATCGGTGTGTCTCTGAACCAAAACACCCAGGAATGACAATTCGTTCTCTTCCACTAATTCAATGGAGAACTTAATGTCCTCGAATGTGTTATTGGTAAAACCGTGTGTACGCTGTACTGAGCTTCGTTTATACTTCCAACTAAGCATAGCAGGAGATTAAGTTAGTGGGATGACACTGTTTCTTGCACGCTCTTCGACCACGTACATGACACTAACAAAGTACTCAATACAAGGTGACATGAGATAGATCGGTTATCAACTGTTTTCCGATTGGTGCGTTGCACGCTACTCCGGTAGGCTTAGTGTCAATATCAGCTGTTTTTGAACACTGAACGATGAACACTACTAGGTTCAGACCATTACAAGTATAAGAACCACCTGATAGTCATTCTTCTCTGGCATTAGGGTTTTTCGACCCCCTTAGTGTATGTTACGACTCGAAGGATGCGTGGATTTTATCTTTGTAGCCTGGTCTTACTGCGTCTATCTACTGCTGGGTTCGCTATCCTCCAAGGGAACTGGTTTGTTCACCCGACTCTCATCCTGGCCCCCGACATCAGAACCACCGGACTAGGACAGCCGAGAGCCTGTTTTGGGTGTACGCATGGAAACGTTTGTTTCTTCGGCTTTCTGTCATTCATTTACTATGCATTCCTCGATTACAACTGTCGGTAATCGCATCAAACAGCAAGTTGATCGTAATCCCCATCTTTCTTGCACCGTCCACCACACTAGCTTGGTATCGATTAAGTCATGCATGTAGATGATGAAGTGCCGTACCCTCCAAATTATACAAAATGATATTCTCTCCCACCGATTACCATGCGCTAATGCCAGGCTATGCCTAACTTACTCAGATTTAGCGGGGTGGTAGCTCTAGTAAATTTTCTGTTCGCTTCACCTTGCTATCGACTGGCCACTCTCATGTAGACAATGGAATACTGCACGTCATTCACTCTTCTCCTTCTGTCACCTTCAACCACTGGCCTTCCTAATCTATACCTTCTCCGGTTTTCGATGTACATATCATCACGATACGTCACTCCCTTTTCGGCTGTACCACTCGACTCTGGTACTTTGGAACCATATTGTAATCTTATTTCTTCGTATGAACATAGTGTCAAGTGCCAATGGTCGCCCCTCCATTTCCATTTCCTCCATTTCTTTCTTCTAGTGTCGAGTGATGCGTAATTTGGAACCAGGCAGACAACAGTTGCGCTCTTTGGGCTACGCGTTTGTTTCATTCACATGCCACGAGGATGCTCTCAAGGTACTGCATGGTCTGAACAACAATCCAAATATTTTCCCCAATCAGCGGGTGAGTCAGCTGATATACGCCTTTGCTTAAGCTAGTTTCAACAGTTAGCACCATGTATCTTTCGCCTTTTGGTGCCAAGCCTACTCCTTAGTCCCCGCCCTGAGCAGTCTTTACTTATGGTTCCCCAATGAACCAGTTCTCCGCATTGCACTGGTGTTTCTTCACAGTTATCTAAGGAAATCCAAATATGTATAAGTCGCGCTTCGACTAATATTTTGCACCAATGCTGCCACCCCAACCCTTCTGCACCATATTAAGCTTGAATGGACGTTTTTTCGCCGTGTTGCTCGTTAGGTCGTCGTTTTCATTCAATCTGCGCCGTCAAGTAACCAGCTGTCCGGACTAGTTTTTGGTATTTTGTTTTATGTTACATGTGCTGAATCGCATCATTCTACTTTGATAAGAGAAAAAGTTCGCTTACCGCATTACCAATGGATTTATTGATCTAGAGACTTCTAGAGTGCGAAGTGAACATCTGTGACATTCAGAGGAGTGGGGTAGCTTGTTATTATGGCTATACATATACCAAACGTTTCAGTTTAGCTTTCATCTCGCTGGATTGTTTCCAATTCATAGTAAGTGCCCACCAACTCCGGTCTAAATTTTATGATTCTAAGTTTTACTAGCAGTTAGTTTTTAGTCGAGTGTTAGCATTGTATCATCAGTTGGGGCTATAACCTAAATCTTGGCTCATTATCCACTGAATTTGCACCTTTTGTTCCCGAATCTCTTTGAACATTCCTACTTTTAAGCTGATCTGCGTCATATTCTATGTCGCCATCCACCTAGTAACAATATAGTATATCATTGATTTCATGTCTTGCTGCTGTTGGATCCACACGCCTGCCTGGTTGTGGACCGAAGGTCGAAGCGTGCCAATGGTTGGAAAGAATAAGAAAAAGAAAGACATCAACGATACGCCGGTACGCAGTACCGACGCTTCGCTGCCGTGTAACCACCACCGGTTGCACGTGGGCTAAGCATACTGGAAGGGTTGCCCTGCTCCTACGCAGGCTCGAACCCGCGGCGTCAGATTACAAGTCAAGTTACTTGCCTTTAAGCTACTGGCCGGCTGTAAACAGTTCAGGATATGACGCTGAACCGAAACTAGTGGGAGCTCTTTGTACGTACTTGTTTAGATTCGGGTACTTAGCGCCTACCAATTACTAACAAATAACGAAAAAGTTCCGTTCTTTTTACGGCATAATAGCTTAAGTGTTTTGCTTATCTTCTACTACTGTGTCGTATTGATGATACTGCGGTGATTTTACCTGTCTTTTGCTGAATATATATATATATATATATGTATATAATGTGGCCGTAGGAAACAGTTTTGTGATATTAAATGCAACTGTATTTACTTTCTGCACTAAGCGTCCGATTGTCGAATTCTCCTTGGAGAACATGCAAGCTTTGGAGATAAAGCGTCGCCGGATCGAAAAGTGTGCAGTGAGTCACTTGATGTAAATTGCTACATTTGGATACTATTCATGAACATCGTCGTTCAATACATTTTACCTTATCTTCTTTATTGAACGTTCCGTACTCCGATGCCTCCCTGCCACACGACCACCGCCGATCACATGGTGGATAATGATACGCCTACGCAAGACCGAACCTGCGATCTGTGGGGTATGGTTCAGACGACTGAGCCGTTCGGACACCACCTGAGTTACAATGCGGAAATTTCCTTTACTATTGTACTGCTTCGCACATTAACGGATGCTCATCTGATGCACTGGTAGCCCGGGTTGATTATTCCTAGATTTACCTGTTCGCTGTGCTTCGCTATTGATATGCAATCGTTTCATCACCAAACGAGGTGACTTCCTCAGTGCGCTGCTCTGTCAAATGTACTCCGCGGACTTGGTCGTCCATTTGTAATCGATTAGCAAGTGAGTTTTGAATTGACCTCCTCGATCTCTGCCCCGTGATCATCCGCCAGCCCAATTTCTCTGATAGATACGGACGATCCGTGGGATGCTTTTGCCCCGACTGTTGCCGCTGTGTTGTTGAGGGCTCGTTTAGCTGCCCACAACGACTTTTAAGCTGTTTTAATTCTCTCCGCCTTAGCATTTCGTAAACTGGGTCAATCTCGGCGTGCATGTTTATCGAGTAGTTCCTCGAGTACCATGCTTCGAGGAACTCTTTTTGTGTCTCACCTTGTGCTAGGACCTCTTCGTTTTCCAATCGACGCGATGTCCATCTTAGCCTGTATGTATTGAAACCAAAGATAGAGCGTAGTGGTTCTTACAAGCTCTCTTATGCTCTTGTATTTTTGTAGACAGTTGCCTTCCTGTCTGACCCGCATAGTTCTTATCGCAGTCTTGACACCGTATCTTGTATGCAACATCTCTTCTTCCGTGAACTTCAGATCTAGCTTTGGGTTTCGTCATGGTTCTCAATGTCGCAGTTTGTTTGTGAGTCGCTGTAAGACCGTGCTGTTTCAATAATCTCGGAGATGTTCATTACCTAAGGTAGAACGATTCACTTTGTTGTCGTTTGGGCAGGCTGAGAGGTCGTAGACATCGTCGGACGAAGTTATGTGTATATCCATTTAGGGAAAATGATTTGAACAGGTATATCATTTATCTATGTTTCGTCTCAACAGTGATGCAATGTGTTTCAATTCTAATCGACCACAAATTGACGACCAAGTCAGCAGCTTACATTTGACCCTGTCGTATACTGAGGAAGTCACCAGGTGTAGGGATGAAACCTTTGCATACCAATTACGAAGCTCCGCGAACAGGTGAGCCCAGGATGATGTTCATCTGTGAAACGCGGCTTCCGAGGCCCGCAGGACGACGAAATAACGGATAGTATTTCTTGAGGATTCAACTCGAGATCTTCCATCCAAACACTTCATTCACATTTGGGCATGAAGTTGGTACAACTTCGCGTCATAGATGAGCCTATCACGGCTACTATCATTTGGTATCTTTTAAAGCTACTCATTTTAAATAGGACTATTTCCATCTGTGCGGACCGTTAGTAGAATTTATCTCACTATTCCTATACAGCACACATCGCTGTCTCAAAATAGGCCAACCCCATGGGAGCCCTTGCTTCTTGAGTTTGTTTCGCTGGTTGCTATAAGTTAATAACTGTTTCACCATATCTGATGGATTACACGGTTTTGCCGATATTACCAATTAACCTCACTGTCTCAAAACGTTTTGGCACAACGAAACAGTCACCTTTTCCTGCCATTAAAGAAAGCACCCTGGTGATTTTCGGGTTTTGGAGAATCCATCGTGTGTCTTGGATTGCGACACGCAATACTAATTGTTTCCTCGGTTTACTTCGAAGTCAGTCTCTGCGAATTCGGTCACTTGGATTGTGACACGAGTAGCAGATTTTCGTGTTGTTCTCTCATCACTTCACCCAACTTTCTTTGAAACTCGGCAGTCAAACTTCATTTGTTTCATAGAACAGTTTCCCTATGCAAATCTATCCTACATTTCTATCAGTTTTTCTCCTTTTCTAATATAAATCAGAAACCATGTTCCCTTTCATTCCATCCGTCGTAACGAACACTCATCTTTTGCTTACTCCATCGTCTATCTGTCATACGCTTTTTGCTGTTTACTTAGTGGTACCGCCACTATATCGAACTCTTATCGCTCCTGAAAAACGCCACATCTAACCATCGATGCTTGCCTTTGGAAAATCTCATTCCCTATTGAACTTGGTTTCCGTTACTCCCCTTTTGTAACACTGTGAATAACTGAGGCTCTCAAACTGGGACCAACTGAATGGTTATAAATGCACATGGAACCTCTGTTACATCCAGTGGCTCGACTGCTAACCTCAAGGCTTTGTCAACCACATCACTCGACAACGAAACACATCACTTTGCTACAAAAACTGCCGTATTGCTGCTAAATTCCACATCATCGCCGAAACCAGTACGGCATGGCCAATAAATATTGGCGGCGCACGAAGTTCACTCAGGTAATTCAGGTTAATACGAAAACCAGTCAAACACTGTTCTCCCATTTACCGACATCCCTGCAGCTTGTTGCGAATGATTTACAACAAGGTCCGTACACGCTACAGGCAGCCAAGCAAAAGCCATTTTTGCATGCAGTGACATACATTTCCGCTGACGTGCGAGCTACGCCGATACCTCATCTCATCGGAAAGCCGCTAGATCCTGAAGCGTCGTTGGACGATGGCATTGGCATCACAACGCATGCTTACAATGCATTTAGTGATTGCAACAGCACAATTCGCAAGTAGCGCCAATGATGAAGCGCAAGTGTTTGTCATGTCCAGAGTGGATTTAAACAGCAACTTCTTAACTTAGTGCCAAACCACATGCCCAGCAGCGTACTACCTATGTTATCGATTGACGGAGACGATATCTGAATCTCCAGTCATTTTAGTCTCCTTTGAATTCCATCGTTATGAACACTATTTTCTTAGGGACGTCGGGCACCCGTTCGTTCTTGGTTTTTTCGTTGCGGTTTGAGTGTTTTGCTAGGAACTTCTCCGGACTTCCATTTGCGGGTACTGTAGAGGAGACGCGTTGCAGCTCACATGCAATCACTTCCTCAGAGCATAGCTGGCGAGCTATCGCAAAGATAGTACGAACCGGAGCTCGTTTATAATTCACAGGACACGAAATGTTAAACTTAGGGTTGTGTACCATTTAGGTTTCTTTTAAGCGAACATCTAAGATTGGAAGGCGTTGTAAGATTGGTTCTCAACTGTAAATTTGATTGCGGGGTGACAGTTGCTTATAGCCAACATTAGTTGTTCTGCTTGCTCGGCAGTGGGCACAACCACGAAGGTGTCAATCATGTAGCGAATATATGAATGGACATGGTATATATTACACCCGATTATCTCTGTTTACAGTCTATCGAATCCGCTAAGTGTATGTAAACGGCTGACAAAAATACATGAAATAGCTTATTTCAGATTATCCTGGCGAAATGTTGTTCTTTCTTGCGCTTTTGACACTGGCCAGTTGTTCGTTGTGTAGTTGAGCGTACGGCGCTCGAGAGACTAGCAGTCTTGGTCGATACTGGCAATCACTGTCTCCACTTTCAACGGACCGACGAGATAGGCAACAGGAGACGTAGTCACTGAATGCCAAACAGGATGCATTTTGTAATGTCGAAAGTGTGCAAAGTGAACCACGCGTGATCTCGGAACGATTTGACAGAGAAAAATGCATGGCATGCAGTGCACCGGAAAATCCAAAAACAGAACCTCAGATAACGGCAGTTTACTTGATGTGGTAGGAAAAGAGGAAAACCGACTCCTTGATATCTAAATTAAGTAAGGATACCGGGATTAGTCTATCTAAGAATCTTGTACCGTGCATCTTGTTTTGTGAAGGAACACTTAACTGCCTCAAAATTATAACTTCTTTGCACATGGAAACATTATAGTGTTGCTCACCCCAACACTGGCACCCGAAGACCGCGGTTTCGTCCTGGTTGGGACTCATCAGTTCGAGATAACCTGAGTTGGGCCGGAACTCAGAGTCTAGTGGCTCATGGTTGACACCATAAGCACTATGCCACTGAGATCCACGAGCAACGCTTGGTCCAGCGAGAACGAAGGCAAAGTTGGACTTGGAGGCTCCGCTGGTGGTTGGGTTGCTACAAACAACCTCTATTGAGACCTCGGTTCACTTGAGGTGGACCTCGGTCATTCCGATCACAAAGACCGTAAGTAAAATGGGCGGCGTCCTGGGCGGAAACCGGCATGCTCTTCTCTAATCCGAGATTCCCGTTCCGCAGTGAGGCGACGAACGAGAATCGAGGCCAGTAATTTTGTCACAACTGGCGTTAGGCTAATACCCCTGTGGTTCGCACAGTCTGTGCGACAGCCCTTCTTGTATATTACCACTATCATCGCTTTGCTCCAATTTGCTGGGACACTTCCTTCCAGATAGATTCGAATAAGGAGGTCGATGCTTTGCAGAGGACCTCACCTCCATCCTTAAATAGTGCAGATGGGAGGGAATCCGGGCCGGCGGCACGAAAACGGTTAAGGGCTGTGACCGCGTTTCGGACCTCGGCCCCCTACGGAGGCTCTAAACTAACCGCCCATGGCTCGTCCTGTATCACCTGAGTCGGAAGAGGTCCGGGAGAAGGGGACCAGCTGAACTGATCTTGAAAGTGTTCCGCCCCACGATCCATACGGCGCTCCTTATTGTGTATCAGTGCACCCGCGCTGTCTCCGATTGTTTCATTGACGCCTTTTTTCCTGGGACCAGTGGTGCGGATTAGCTAGAAGAACTTGCGGTAATTGCCTACTGCTCCTGCCTCCTCCATTTCTTGAGCCCTATTGGTCCACCAGGCTTCCTTGTCAGCACGTAGGCTCTGCTTTAGTTCACGCCTAATAGGCCGTCTGGTTACATTGTATTCAGAGCCAGCCGGGAGGTGTCTTCTAGATTCCAACAGGTTCACCGACCTCTCAGATATCCA